GACTTCCGCTCGAACCCAATGGAACCTCGTTGCCTGGCAACGAGTCGGAGCGGTAGCAATCTGCCCCCATCGCGGCGGTATGCCATTGCCGACGCGATCGTTGCCGATGCCGTACTACTGTGCGGCTTGTGTCGGCAGCTTTGTGAGGTACCCTGCCAGCCGCATTGTCTCGCCGCGACGCAAGTCCTGTACGCTCACCACCTTGTTCTCGTCCGCCTCGCGCGCGCTTCGCACGTGGGCATGGCGGATGACGTAGGTGAGCGGGACTGTCGGCGGGCTCGTGCCGCCCGCCTGATCGCGCCGGGTCTTGATACCCGAGATGACGTACGGACCCTCGAACTTGAAATTCTTGAGCGCCCGCGGACCGCGCCTCGAGCCCTCGGGCGTCCGCCACCACACCTCGTCGCCGATCTTGAAAGCCTTGGTCTGGCGGGACGCGGCGTTGAGGCCGCCGCCCGCGATCTCCTGGGCCCGCCGCGCCTCGGCCACCGCGGCCCGCCGCATCGCCACCGTCAACTCATGGCGCGTGCCGGGCGGGTCCGCGCCCTTGAAGAGCGCGTACGGAGTGGAGACCACCGAGTGGCCCGGCCGGCGATCGTACTCGCGCGGCGTCTTGTTGTATTCGGCGACCATTCTCTTGATGACCGCATACCACGAGTTGGGCGAGTCAGTCAGCGGCTTGTTCCATCCGGCGGCCATGGTGGTACGCTTGATGTTCTGCACATGCTTCTCCGCCATCCCATTTCCTTGGGGGTGGCCCTTGGCCGCCGCGGTGATGAGGATCGTGCGATCCTGCTGCGTCGCCCAGCGCTTCACCTCCGCCGACATGAAGCTCTTCTCGCGATCGGCGTGGATGTGGTCGGGGCCAGGGAGGCCTGCGGCGCGGCGCGGGGCGCCTTGCGCCGGCTGCTGCGGCGTCTGCACATTCTCGAGGTCGAAGAGACCCTCCAGGACGTCGATGACCGCGCGCGCCGTGCGATCCGCAAGCAGCCCCACCATGGTGTAGCCGGAGAACGTGTCGACGGCAACCAGCACCCAGTGCTTGTCCTGGTTCTCGCCCCACATGAAGGGACCGGCGTTGTCGACCGACCACCGCTGGTTCGGCGCGTCGACCCCTGCAGTCACAGCTGCTCCAGGTGCGCCGTGCATCGTGCGGTATGGCTTGGACGCTAAGCACCCGGCGCACCCGTCTGCTACAAGTTGCGCCCACTTGTGGATGTGTTGAATGTCCCAGCCTCGGGCCTTGGCCCGGCGCACCATCGCGTCACGGCCGAGATGGTGCTGCGCGTGGTCCTCCTGAAGCTTTTGGATGTTGCGCAGAATCGCGTGTGGCGGCACGGGACCGAGCGTCCACTCGCCAGTGAACGTTCGCGGGCCCTGGTGCGGGCCTGCTGTTGCCCGCGATTGGGTGCGTCGCGTGCCTGGCGCCGCAGATGTCGGTGTCGCCTCGGCCTCCGACTCGTCGTCGTCCGAGTCGAAAGTCAGCGTTGCGAGGAGCGACTCAAGGCGCGAGTTGTCGCGCGACTCCGTCTGACTGCGCGTTGTCACTGGCGCTGCCACCGACCGTGCGATGCGCCGCTCGACGCGGGAATCCTCCTCCGCCGCCATGGCTTCCCACTCCGGGTCCGGGCGGTGGAGGACAAGGCGCGAGAGGGCATCGGCGCCGCCGTTGCTCGTTCCGGGCACGTGCACCACGTCGCATGCAAACGAGCGGATGAAAGCCAGCCAGCGCGCTCGCTTTCTGCCTGGGGGTGGATCCTCGCTCTCGATCATGCCTTGGACGGCCCGCGAGTCAGTCTGGAGCTCAAAGCGGCGGCCGTCGAGGTAAGGCTCAAACTTGGTGAGAGCATGGACCACTGCTGCGAGCTCCTTGTCGGGCACACCGGCCGAGAGCTCGCGCTGCGCAAAGGCGCGTGCTGCGTATGCGACAGTGCGTGACGTGCCATCGGCGTCGCGCGCCGACAGTACGGCTCCGACCGCGCGTACCGACGCATCGGTGGCCACCACTGCCGTTACGCCCTCGCGCTCTAGTTCGGCTGCGTGTGCCAGTGGCTCAGCGTCCACAATGGCGTCCCGCAGTGACTCGAAGGCTGCGATGCGTTCGTCGTTCCACTCCAGACGGTGGCCCTTTCGCATGCACATCGAGAGGATGTTGGACTTGGCTGACGCCTGTGGGATCCACGCGGCGAACCATTGCACCGCACCGAGAAATGAACGGAGCGCCGCCGTCGTTGTCGGCCGCTCCATCGTGCGGAAGAGATCCTTGGCTGACTCCTTGAGACCGATGCCCTCCTCCGAAATCACGAGGCCGACAAACTCGGTTTCGTCCACAAAGAGCTCGAGTTTGGGGAGCGAGATCGTGAGCCTCGCCTCGTCGAGGCGCTTGAGCAACTGCTCGAGCTGCGTAATGCCCTCGTCGATGTCATCGCAGCCCATCACTGCGTCGTCCATCCAGAAGGCGACGCGCTGCAGCAGCGGGCCCAGCGCGCGGGCCATCACGCGGTTCCACACGGACGGCGCGTTGACCCATCCCATGGACATCGCGACGAACTCGTACAGCTCGCCCGTATCGAGCGAGAAAGCCATCTTTGCCCGGTCTTCTTCCCGGAGCATGACCTGATGGAACGCCTTGTCGAAGTCGATGCGCGTCCAGTACCTCCGCTTGCCGGCCGCGTCGAGCACCGAGCGCACCGAAAGCTTCTCGTTGTACTCCTTCACGCAGCGCTTGTTCAACTCGCGCGCATCCTGCACGACGCGCATCGAGCCCGGAAGCGGGTTCCCTTCGTCGTCGTATTTTGTCTCCTTACCGGCTTTTTTGACAAGGAAGACAGGGAGCGACCACGGGTGTGAGTCGATCGTACGCTCTGAGTCGGGGACGCGCCTCAGGTAGCCGGCTGCCTCGAGGGCGTCGAGTTCGGCCTGGAGGATCTGACGTTCATGTGCCGAGCGCGGACGGCTCGCACGCCAGAACGGCTCCGCCCCGTCCATGAGCATGACCGCTGCCTCGGCCAGCGGGGTGAACCGGCGTGGCGTCGTGCCGAGCACTAGGGCGGGGTAAGCGTTGAGCGCGCGAAGAATGCGCGCTCGCTGCTCGCGCGTCACGTCCTTGCCGAACGTCACGTCGCCCTCGGTGACTGTCTTCTGCCTGTCCTTTGCCGGCGCTGCCACGGCTGCCGTGAGGTTGATGCCTGTGTGCATCGGGATGCGGATAGCGTCACGCGACTCGGCTGTGATCACCAGCGTGTTCTCGTACGCAACCGGGTACGCGTGTTCGTCGTTGAGGAAGCGCCACCCGAGGATAAAGTCTGCCACCATGTCTGGCACCACGAGCGCCCGGGTCAGGAACATGTGCTTGTTTCCCGACGCATCGGTGAGCTCGAGAGGGAGGGTAGCGGCCCCGATGATGAGGAGCGTTCGTTTGCCGATATCCACAGTCGAACGCTCCAGCGCCGACAGGTTGCCCTCGATCTCAAGGCCAAGCGTGTACGCCGTCTACAACGAGATGAGCGAGAACGTGCTTCCGGAGTCGATGAGCGCGTCGGCGCTGTAGAAGCCGAGCGGGCCGGAGAGACGCGCCGTCACCCACTGGTTGGGTTCGTCATCGTCGCAGCCGTCCGACCCTTCTTCCCCCTCAAACCCCCCGGTATAGTCTTCGGCGGGTTCAATCTCAGAGCCGGCCAGCGCTGCGCGGCCGGCTGCCAGGATCGGGCACGCGGCTAGCACATGCCCGGTCGACTCGCACGCCTCGCAGCGCGCCTTGCTCTTCTTCTTCTGCGGGCAGTTGCGCCGCATGTGGCCAGTCTCGTGGCATCTGTAGCTCGTGACTGTGTCCGGGTGCTGGCGGCGGCTCCGGTTGGAGCTCGCCATTGCCGCAGCCGCCTGCGCCCCTCGGCCGTGGGCCTTCGTCGGCGGGGCGCGGCGGAGGGTAATGCCGAGGTGCCCCATGCCCACGGCCGCCCGAACGATGTCGTCCAGACTGTCGGGCTGCTCGAAGCCCGTGTAGCCGGCCTCGCGGCTCAGCTCAATCCATTCCGCCCGCGAGAGGTGCTCTTCCAGCGTCTCGCCCAGCCGGTCAATGGCCGACTCTTCAGACGGCATCCCTTTCAGCGCCGGGAGGCCGTTGAACCACGAACGCACGCGTGAGCAGTACGCCGTGAGCGACTCCCCTTTCTCGGGAGCCATGTCTTTGCGGTACGCGCGCGCCTTGGCGCGCTCCGCTCCGATCACGTTGTTCTCGCTGATGAACCTAGCGAAGAACAATGCGACCACCAGCAGGCCGTGCTTCCGCGCGACCTGCTTCTCCAGGCCGTTCCGGCCCAAAGCCGACGTCACGGTCGTCCAACCCGTCTTCTCGACGCCCAGGGCGTCAGCCAGGTCTTCCGGGGACTCTGCGTCGTCCAGATCCGCCACGGCCGCCGAGACGCTCACAAGCAGGTTCGCGATTCGGCGGTCGCCATTCGCCTTGGCAAGGATGGCCTTACGGGCCGCCCTCGACATGTGCTCGCCGTAGGTTCCGAGGTCTTCGGCGAACTGGCCGAGCGCGTTGGCCATGGCCTCCATCGCCTGCAGCGCCGTCCCTTCCGATAGTTCGGGAAGAAGGGCGATGAGGGTGCTGTAAATCTCCTTGCGCAAGGCGATACCTTCGGCTACGGACATGCTGTTCTTGAAGACGTTGTCAAAAGTTGCTGTAGTAGTCCGTATCGACAGTTGCGAATGCCTTCAATGCTGTACTACTTCGAGCGTGAAATCGGCACGGTTTTGACTCCGCGACGACTTCCGCTCGAACCCAATGGAACCTCGTTGCCTGGCAACGAGTCGGAGCGGTAGCAATGCTAGACTGTTTCTGGCAGGAGAATCGCGGAGTTTTGACTCCGCCTGGACCGTCTGACGTGTGTCGACGTCCTCGCCACGCTGGGGAAACGTAACTCCTGAAACAAGACCTCTCTCCCCCTTCTCTCTCTCTCTCTCTCTCTCCCTCTCTCTTTCAACCATAACAAACAATGAAGACTCTGCACCAGTACTCGCTCGCGTTTGTCGACGACTCTAGCCTAATAGTGATCTTGGGTGCGCCCCGAACGGATCAGTCGGACGCGTGGGAGAGCCTGCTGGCTGAGGTCACCAAGCTGATCGCGGCTGCCGACGACAACGGCGAGGTCTGCGACCTCGCATGTGAGTCGATTATCGAACTCAAGCGAGAGTTTGGAATTCAGCTCGGAGTGTCTTGCGAAGTGGTTGCTCACGAGCACAAGGCCGAGGCAGTCATGCCAGCCGCGCCCGGTCGTAATTCAGCGCCCTCGACTTTGACCACGCCAGGCTTGCAATGGACAAGCAGGTGGTGTGTACACGGAGAACAACTTGGACTCGCTCGTTCGGTCGGAGTTTCATCGTCTGATCCAGCTGGCCAAGGCCTCGTTTGTGCCGGAGGAGGACACGTGCTCTGTGAGCGTGGGCGGGGGACGTCTTTGTGATTCACAAGCGCGCCCTTGACGTGTACTTTGCCGCGCCCACGTGCACGCCGTTGACGGTATGTACAGCGTGGTTCACACGGGCTGCGAGCTCTTCACCGTGCTGGGCATTGACGCTGATGGGCGTAGTGTGCCGCTCATGGCAGCGTTTCTGCAGGAAAGTACGACGATGTCGTACCTGGAAGCGCTCCTCTTCTTCTCCAAGCACTTTGACGCTGCACCGGAGCTCGTCCTCCTCGACGAGTGCGCGGCGGAGCTGCGTGCCGCGTGCCTCGCGTGGTCGACGACGCGCAAGCGCCACTGCCGCTTCCACCACCTGCAGGCTCTCGGTCGCCGCTTCACCGCCCTCTCCTATCCAGTGCACGACGTCATCGCCGGCCTCGTGTACGCCTCGTCGCCGGACGTCTTTGGCCGCCGCCTGCGCACGCTTTACGACGCGCTCGCCGGCGCGCGGGAGTGGGAGCCGGACTCGGCCGAGGCCAAGGCGCTCGAGGAGATTCACCGCGTTGCGGACGACCTCTCGAGCCTCAGCGCGTCGGACGACGTCGATGCCATCATCGACTTTGACGGCGACGGCGATGTTGACGCTGTCGTCGACGTGGATGGCGACGGCGACGGCGACGGCGACGGTGACGGCGACGGGGACGCCACGACGTCGAGCGTCCGCGACAAAACGTTCGAGCGGACGTACGGCGACGTCCACGACGTGGTGTACGACGCGAAGGTGGAGGAGCTGGCGTAGCGCGTTGCGCACTCGCCTGCTTTGGCGAGGAAGGTCCTCAAGTACCTCGCCGACACGCTCTCCAAGCGGATGCTCTGGTCGAAGGCTTGGTACACCAGGTACTACGCGTACGGCACAACTAATCATGTGGAATCGTGCCACCGTGTGCTCCGCTTCAAGTACGGTGTCGGCTGCCGCGTGGTCCAGCTTGCCCTCGTCGTCCAGCACGTTCTCGAGGTTTACCATGCGATCATCTAGCGTATCGCCTACGAGTCGTCGCACCAGCCGATCTATGGCCGCCGGATCACCGGCACGCGCGCGGGTCACGGCACGCGCGCGGGTCACGGCACGCGGTCGGCGGCGCCGGCGAGCATGGCGCTTGCGCTGCACCCGATCGCTTCGCTCAGCCGGCCGCGAGTGTTAGCGACTCGTAGCAGTCGTGGCAACTTCGGATTGTCACGCGCATCAACGACACGGCTGAGGGACGGCCTAGCCAACTGTGGGCTCATAGTCAAAGACGTCGTGGTAGGCGCGACACATGGCGCACGCTGTCCATTTCGGGCGCGAGAGGCAGCCGCGCTTGCGAGCAAGCTCGGCTAGTTTGGGCTGCACGCTCGCCTTCTTCCGCCATTCAAAGCGCGAGCGCCACTCGTCGTCGGTCATGGCGTTGAGAAAGGCGGCGAGATCGGCAGGGTCCGGAAAGTCTAGGACATCTACGAAAGAGTTGGGCGAGGGAAAGTGCGCTTTCGCGTCGGGTGGACCACCGTACACCACGACCGTGTCGTAATCAAGTGCCTCCAAAAACTTCTCGGTAAAGTAGTTTGTGACCAGTGAGTTCTCTATCGAGATGAAGAATCGATACTGTTCAGCCGCGATCTGCTTGTCCTTGTAGAATCCCCCCGAAGCAGGTTTGACAGGAGCATCTGCCGTGTGCCAGCAGCCACCCAGTGAGTAGACCTTCATGTGCCTCATCAACTCCACAATATAAGCGCTTCGCCACGTAGCACTCTCCTCGCAATTAGAGACAACCACCACAGCAGCATTGACCTTGTCTGTAGGGTCCGGGGTAGGAAGATCCATTGATGAAAGCCGGGTCGGTCCGTCAGGGTCTTCCTTGCAATGAATCATGGTGTTGTCATAGTAGAAGATGGCGTCAGAGGCAGGATATGGCGACTGGAACAAGTCAGCGATGAACATGGGTCGTGGGTCAAACGAAATCTCGCCCGTGGAAAACATAGTCTGTAGCCCGCGGCTCTCTGCATAGGTGACCATGTCAATGAGCTTGTCCCAATCCCATGTAAAAAGCCACGGCAACGTTGTCAAGTGCACGATTTCGCGAGCTTCAAGCTTCTCGATGGCGGATTCGATCGACTCGACGAAATCGTACTCACACGCAACGCCGCAAACCTCCTCTGAGACACTACCCCGGCCCAAAAGCCACGGATCGACATTGCCCACGACAACAACTGGGTTATCATCGCTACGTTTGACTTTCTTCATCTGCGCCGTGTTGGGGAGCATCATGCGACGTCGGAGCAGATGAGTCTCTCGGGCTGCTTCGACCATCAAAGTCCACTTTGCCGTCTTTTCAAAGCCCGCCGCAAGGAAGTCGCGAGAAGGAGGTAAAACCTGGGAGGGCTCCTTGTCGCGGTCGCACGTGGGACAGTCTCGGTTGGTGGAACAGACTGTGGTGGGGCAGTCTTGGATGGTGTCGCAGTCATGAAAAGACCACATCATCACAGCAACCCAAAAGCAAACGACAACCATCACCTGTGGGTATCGTCGCAAGGCCACCGAAAGACTCATGGTAGACAGTGGTATCGCCTTTGGCCTCCTTGACGAAGACAGATAGTCGAAGAAGACCAGTTGAGTGTGTGTGTGTTTGGGGGGGGGAGGAGAACATCCCCGACGTTTTGTACGAGCGAGAGCAAGAGCAGTTTGTGTATGAGTCGAGGGAGCAGCGCATCTACGCGCGACACCGCGAGAAAAAGCCAGCAAGAGAAGATCCACTACCGCAAATAAGACGAAAGAGCTGCGATACATCTCGATGAGCTGCAAGGAACGGCTGCAATGTTGTAGCGATTGCGGGGGCGTGGCTCCGGCTTGCCGCCAGAAAGCTCATTTTTCGGTCGGCGGAAGGCAGCCACAGGTCGCCAGTCAGACCGAAGTCACTTCTCGACTCGAAAACATTCATGGCTGCCGAGAACAACCCGCTGGGTTTGGACGTGGCATCGGCCGCTCGCGACGGTTCGGTCCAGAGCAACGGGCCCGTCGCCCTCATTACCGGAATCACCGGCCAGGATGGCTCGTACCTCACCGAGCTTCTTCTTGACAAGGGTGCGTATTGTCCAAACTCATTGCTGCTTCGCCAAGCCCATGCCTCTTGCATAGTTCCGTTGCCGGCCGTGGATTCCCATTTTGTCGTTTCGGGCGGGAGGAAGGAAGGGCGGGAGGGGGGGGGGAGGGGGAGGGGAAATGCAATTGAGAGGGCGATTGCGAAAGGCAAGGGGGTAAGGGAGGTGGAGGCACGGTTGGTGGTATGGGCTCACGAGGAGCCGAATTGTGTGTGCGTGTAGGCTACACTGTTCATGGCATCATCCGCCGCTCGTCGTCGTTCAACACCGGCCGCATCGAGCATTTGTACGAGGACCCGCACCGCGACTCGCGGCGGCTTGTGCTTCACTACGGTGACATGACGGACACGACGAACCTTCTGTCAATTGTGCAGATTGCCAAGCCCGATGAGGTGTACAACCTCGCCGCACAGTCGCATGTCAAGGTCTCATTTGAGCTGCCCGAGTACACGGCTGATGTGGACGCTGTCGGCGTCCTCCGCATTCTCGACGCCATCCGCGCCGCCAACCTCGGCAAGCAGGTCAAGTTCTACCAGGCCTCCACCTCGGAGCTCTACGGCCTTGTGCAGGAGGTGCCGCAGTCCGAGACGACGCCGTTCTACCCGCGCTCGCCCTACGCTGTGGCCAAGCAGTATGCTTACTGGATCATTGTCAACTACCGCGAGGCATACAACATGTTTGCATGCAACGGCATCCTGTTCAACCACGAGTCACCGCGCCGTGGAGCCACCTTTGTCACCCGCAAGATCACCCGCGCCGTGGCCAAGATCGCCGCCGGCAAGCAGAAGGTTGTCTACCTCGGCAACCTCGACGCCAAGCGCGACTGGGGCCATGCCCGCGACTACGTCCGCGGCATGTGGATGATGATGCAGGCCGAAGAGCCTGAGGACTTTGTCCTCGCCACCGGCGAGACACACACCGTCCGCTCCTTCTGTGACGCCGCCTTTAAGGTCATCGGTGTCGAACTGACCTGGCAGGGCGAGGGCATCGAGGAGGTCGGCATCTCGTCGGTCACCGGCGAGCCCGTCGTCAAGGTCGACCCGGCCTACTTCCGCCCCACCGAGGTTGATCTCCTCCTCGGCGACCCGACCAAGGCCCGCACCAAGCTCGGCTGGGTCCCTGAGGTCACCTTTGATGCCCTCGTCCGTGACATGGTTGTCGCCGACCTCGAGGAAATCGGCGCCGGCGACAAGGTCGTCGCTGCAAAGTAACCTGTCCTTCCTGGTCCGCCGCTGCGCTGCCACGCTCGGCGCAATTGCTTTTAGCACTTCAATTGAGTGATCATTCCTGGCACCCTTCTCTGGCACATCATGCGCACGCTCGCACTCGCGCCCGCCTGGCATGCGGTCGGCCAAAGCCGGACGCGCGCTTTGCCGCCCACGGCGCGCGCCAGCCCTGGCAGCCAAGGCAAGGGACTGGTGCTCGCAACAAGAGAGTATACTCGTCTTGGGGAGAGTAGAGGTGAGACACGCGAGGACAAACAAAGTGCCGCAGCCTTTTGGCAATCACACTCTCGGTTCGCTCCTGGACCAGTTCGTGCCGTCGTAGTAGAGTGCTGCTTCACGAGTACTGCGGGCTTGGCACATCTCTCTCCCTTTCTTGCGCACTCCCACTGACTTGCTCTTGATTGCCTGGGCTCGTTTTCCCCCTTTGGTTTCACACCTAATGAAGTTCGGCAGCAGGGCCCGGGTTATGAGCATGGTAGCTCTCTTGCAGTTGACATTGAGCTTCGCGCTCCTTACGACGAGTACCACTGCGGGCGATCTCGGCGTTCGAAGAGGCGCCTTACTACGCGCTGCCGTAGCGGAGCCCGATCGGCCGCGCGCCTGCGGCCCGGCAGCGCTGGCTGCCGTGGGATTGGCTGCTCATGACGTCGAGGGGGGCGGTTTGGAGAGTAGCGAATGACGTGCGCGTGCGTCGGGCCGGCACTAGCAGAGTGCGTGTGCGTTGCGTCCGATTCTGCGCAATGTGCAGGGTTCCTCTTGCCTGGCTTTGTACCGGGCTCGTGCCTGGTGGCCTGAGAGCTCGCGGATGCGGGGGTGGTGGCATAAGTTTGAAACAGAGGGGGGGGGGGGAGGAGGGGGGGCAACGGGTGCTGTCGTGTGGCCACCAACGCCTCCGGCAGGGGGGCTTTTTGGGAACAGGGGGGGATGCCGCGAGCAAAGGGTGGGATGATTGGATGGTGACTGGCTTTAGGTCGGCGGTGGCTGCAGCTATCACGGGCAAAGACTATAAAGGAGCGTAGCGATGACGATGGCCAAGGGGATGCAAGCCCCGATAGCGAGCTGGAGTGGGAAGGCAGCCTGGCACGCCAATCATCTGTCGGCAGCGTTGGCGTTGGCGTGTCTGAGGGAGAGGTCATGGGAGAGGGTAGCCGTGGCATGATATATCGATCTGATCGCAGCGGCATAGGCACATGGCTCTCTGGAAGAGCCGTCGCAGCTGTGTGCTCAGGGAGGGCTATGTTGTCTGTCCCAAATCGGAGGCGGGCCTACACGAAAAGGTTGTCGAAACGGCTGCACGGCGAGAAAATGGGGCTACGGCAATGGACAACCTGCATCACGAAGGAGGCTCATGACCTCGGTGTGGTTGTTCCGCGCAGCCATGCGGATGGCGTAATTGTTGTCGGCACCGATGTCAACACGCGGATCTGCAAGCAGAACACGGACGACCTCCCTTCGGCCGTACTCGGAGGGAAAGCGGATGGCCGCGTTGAGCCGCTTGCACGACGAGGCGAGAGCGAGGACGTCAGGCAGAGGTAGCGGCGAGGTAGGATGGTATGCAATGCGGTGAATGAGCTCGGTGGAAAGCTTGTCCAGCATAATGGCTCTTGGTCGCGATCCATGCCCTGGCCTTTCAGGCCAGGCCCCAAGTCCAAGCGCTTCACGCCTATGACGAGGCTCACGAGTAAGTCTGCACCCAGTCGGGCCCGGAACGTCCCTTCCTGGTCGGGGGCTTCGTTCGACGTTCGGCTGGCTGTGGACCCTCTGGTCTACATCATTAAACTGATTTACACTCACACGTGTACCACATGTACTTGGCACGGACCACGCTTCCGTGCGAAGAAGCGCGGGCGTTGCCGTCGATGGCACAGGTGGCGCGGAGTAAGATGATGGGATGAGGCTATCGGTGGGAGGGCGGGGGGAGTGCTCACGGAACGAGGGAGGGAGTTGTGGCGCCGAGTTGGCGCCGCCAACGCCAACAGCGCAAGACTTCACCCCCCCACCGTAGGCTCCGTGTATGGAGAAGGGAGGGGAAATGTCGTTGAGAACACTAGCGTTGAGAAAGGCTGTTGTGGTGGTAGTGGTGCTCGTGGCAGTGGTCCACGTTGTCTTCTTTCCGTACATGAAGCAGACAGAAGACAAGGTGGGGCCAGCGCTTCACAACCACCGACAAGCTCGACGGGGTGACGGAAGCCTCACCCACAGCCCACTCAGCGCAGCTCGAGTCCACCGATTCTTTGATCCACGTGGAGGATGCTGGAACTGCTATCCTGGTCTCAACGCGGTAGCGTGTGCGGGGGCTTCCGAGTGGGTGGCGGGCGAGTTGAGCGAGACGTACGTCCGCGAGACTAGGTTTCCCGCCGCGGTCGATCCGTTTGTCAAAGACGCAACCACTGCGCAGCTTGTGTCACCGTATGCAGGGGACGAACCGATGTCAGTCAGCGCGGCGATCCAATGTTGTGCACTGAAGCTGCCTCCGGGTATGGATGAGGGCGCGCCTGTGTACTCTGGGAGCCAGTGCCAGCTGCGCAACGCATCGAGTACGTTGCCGCGCAAGATGAACATGGAGGTCGGCGAGGCAGACACACATCCGCACTTTACGGTCTTTACTGGAGTTGGCGGCAGTGCGGACAAAGAGGCACAAATGCTTGGTCGGACACTCGGGTATGAGTGGCCGGAGCTTCTGGAGGTGTACGCGAACAGAGTAGCTGATTCGCCGCCTGACAGTCTTGTGTACGACGATCGGGTTGTCGTTGTCATCCACGACATGTGGTCTGGTAACTTCTGGCACACCTTCCACAACAGGCTCATCCGGACGTTTGGAACAATGGCGACCCTTGTAGATGAGGGCCTCATCACTTGCAGTGCCGAGAATCCGCGTGCATGCGACATCGCCCGTGACAAGGTTGTCCTCGCCTTGCCGGTCCCACTCACGCCAATCAGCGACGTCGACTTTGTGGAGCTTCTCGGAGGAGGACAAGAGCTGATGACCGCCGACAACGTTGTGTATCGTCGGATTGTGATAGGAGCGTCGACGCTTCTCGACGCCAACTCGCGGGTCATCGAGCCGCGGTCGATCATCCTCCTCGGCCACTTTGTCCGGTGGTACAATCTCCAGCTTGGCGTCGACCGTCCACTCCCAGCGATCTCCATCGACGATGCTCTCAAGAGCAAGGATGTACCGCGGCTTCTCCTCGTGGAGCGGGTTCGCAGGCGGGCATGGGCCAACCCGCACGAGATTCTCGACTGGGCCCGTGGGCGCGGCCTGGAGGTCGACACTATCCAGTTTGAGATTGCGAGCCATGCCGAGGTTGTCGACAAGTTGGCCGCCGCCACAATTGTTGTAGCGGTCTCTGGGGCCGGGCTCACCAACCTCATCCACATCACACCAGGCACGGTTGTCATCGACGTGCTCCCTGTGGCCTCGTTTGGGCTGGAGGAGAAGGTGACGACTGACGTCTGCATCTTCTCGCAGTTGACCAATGCGCGGGGCGGAGTCATGATCAAGATTTATGACTACCACGGCGACAACAAAGTCCCCATCTCGTTTGTCAACCGCGACCACTTTGACGGCCTGCTCAACCAGGCGCTCACACTCGGGATCCACTCGGCGATGGCACCGAGTTGGACATGGGTGAATGTGCCGCCGGTTGAGTCGGGAGTGTTGATGGCGCCAGACGACCTCGGCGAGTTTATTGCCTCCGGATTCCCCGGCGCGTCCCGTGAGCATGCAGACGAGCTCTACGCGTCGTGGCCACCGTCGATGGCGGGTAAACTGTGAGCGGGTGAACCGGCGGGTGGGATGGCGATGACGACATCGGCGACAATCAATCGCACCAGGTCAACTGTCTTTGCACCCTTTGTACTTGCTCTCCAGCCCTAGCTCGCACTTCTGATTCCGATCTCTCGCCCAGACCCTCGACCAAGGGTGGCAAGGGCCTCGGCAATGGCGGCGCTAAGTGTCACCGCAAGATCTTTCGGGACAACATCCAGGGTATCACTGTTTGCCAAGTTTCGCCCAACACCCCTACATTTTCTTGACTCACGTCGAGAGATCCTCGTCCTTGCGACGTCCCTGTGGGAGTGCTACAAGCTGCGGCAGGCCGAGTCACCCCGGTGTGTAGCTAGAGAAAAGATCACCACAGATAGCGCATCCACTGCACATACCGCCCCACCCCATGCTACCCATACACTACCAAGGGCAAATACCCTCCCCCTAACCCCCCCCCCCCCCCCATCCCCCCACCCCTTACCCCTGTCCCAATCCTATCCAGTTATCGCAGCTGCCCCAGCTCACCGGGCCGCCGCCACGTGGCGCACGACCGCGACAGCGGCACCCACCGTTCTCTCTCCCTCCCCGTACCCCCACTCCCCTGGCACGCATGGCGTCATCTCACCTCGTCAACGCGCAGCCCATTCCGGCAGACTCCATCTACGGTATTGCAGCTCGGGCCAAGGCCGACCCTGCACCAGTGGCCAACCTGGTCATCGGTGCCTACCGTGACTAGAACGGCAAGCCGTGGATCCTGCCGTCAGTGGCAGCGGCCAAGGCAGCAGCTGCTGCCGACGACACGGTCATCCACGAGTATCTGCCCATTCGCGGTGACACTGCTTTTACTGCTGCTGCTGCTCGCTTCATCTTTGGCGCAGACTCGCCCGTCGTCGACAGTCTTGTCTCCGTCCAGACGCTCTCGGGCACCGGCGCCCTGCGCGTCCTCGCCGAGCTGTTCAAGATCCTCGCCCCCGCCGCCCCGATCTACCTCCCCGACCCGACGTGGGGCAACCATGTCAAGGTGCTGTCGCGGACGAACCCGGACGCAGACATCCGCACCTACCGCTACTTTGATGCCGCCACCCGCGGCCTCGACGCCGACGGCATGCTCGCAGACCTCCGCGCCGCCCGGAAGGCGCCATCGTTCTCTTCCACATGTGCGCCCACAACCCGTCGGGTGTCGACCCATCCATGGCCCAGTGGGAGGCCATTCGCGACGTCTGCCTCGAGCGCGGCCTCTTCCCCTGGTTCGACGCCGCCTACCAGGGCTTTGCCTCGGGCGATCCCGACGCAGACGCCGCCTCGCTCCGCCTCTTTGCCGCCGCCGGCATCGACCTCGTCGTCGCTCAGAGCTTTGCAAAGTCTGCCGGCCTCTATGGCGAGCGCGTCGGTGCTGCTCACGTCCTCACCCACGCTGCAGACGCCCGCCCGGCGCTCATGACTCAGCTCGAGGGCATCATCCGCCCCATGTACTCGTCGCCGCCGCGCTACTTTGCCAGTGTTGTCCAGTACCACTTGCCGGGTATGGGTGCACGGAGTGGGCGGGCGCAGGGACCCCCGCCCTCATCCCCGCCCGCTGCTAACTCCTCGCGCAAGGCCCGGCGTCAGGTGCGCTCCGACCAGCCAGCTCGACATGGCCGCCATTCGCCAGCTGGCAGGCCGCCCAAGCCGCCGCTTGGCGACGCCCTCGATCCACGCCGGGGTGTTCGATTTGTTTGATGATGTTACTCATGATGATGATGACGGCAAACCGCGGCCCATTTTCCTTGGGTCCCAGTCCGGCTTCACCTTGCTTGGGCTTGAAACAGACGCCTTTGGCGTGGGGGTGGCAAGCAGCCACCTCGCTGGCATTGGCAGCGGACTCTCTGCTCTCAGCCTGAGCCCTGGTGGCACAAGCGGTGGCGACAAGAGACAGCTCGAGCGGGCGAGTGGGGCTCTGGACGCAAGTTCGCGGTTTGTGGGCGCCGCTGAGGTTCTTGCCAATCACGCCTCCCAGCTCTACGCGCAAGAGAGTACCCTTCTACCGCCGGAGCCTGGATACGAGTTCTGTGTCGTCGACGGCGACGTGCGCGTGGCGCCGACAGAGCAAGACCGAAGAGTCCCGACGGTTGCGATCTTTCCCGGCGCAGTCGCCAAGCCGGGCTCGCTCACTGAGGCGTTGTCGAGCATGAGAGCCGACTCTGTTGTGCTGCGCGGGCGGGCTAGCGTTGCGTGCGCAAAGCTGGGCACGACAGCAGACAAGCTGCGAAAGACAGCGTCCGGGCTGGCCATGCTTCTCGACGCAGCCATTGCGCGGTTGTCGACTGGGATCGCGCTGTTCGAAGATGGGCTGTCTCAGGTGGCGGTTGCAGCAGAGACGGCGTCTCTGGCAGCGCACGGCGCTCGTGTTGAGTTTGTACCCCAGACGCCAGAGTAAACAAGAGTTTGGGTGGAGAGGGAGGGGGAGGGGGGTACCCCCCCCCCCACCGCTTGATCACCGATCAGCCGATCAAAAATCAATGAAATGTGGGCACTCTGAACACTCCGCCGACCGCACACTCGTCTCACCCACCAACTGCTCCCATCGTGATGTTTGGGTCAGCAACAGCAGTGCTCGAGAGTGCAAGTCTTGGCAACGGAGCTATTCCGGGCGGAGGCGGGTCTTTTGGTGGACCTCGTGGTCGCGGAGGTGATCGGGGAGGCAAAAGCCGCAGTGCGGCGCGGGGGCAGCGGGGACTCGTTGGTGTGGCGCCCTTCCACCTGATGAGAAGATACTGAGCAAGGACGACCTGACACTGGTGGGTGAGCTCCTTCGTGACCCGTCTGTAGCTAACGCCATCAGCGGGCTCGCGAGCGAGGTCTCGGGCTCGCTCGTGTTTGCGGTGGCTGCGGCAGAAGACGCGACGACGCTCACGCCGACGCCGCAGTTTCAGGCCATCATCGACGAGTTCTACAAGCCTGCTATCGGGTCGATGGTGCGCTTCTATGCGCAGTATGGGCTCATTTGCGCCACGACGGGCGTGGTGCCGTACACCGACGAGCGTGACGCGGCGGTCGTCATTGTCCCGCGAGGCAACTTTGTCATCACTGTCGCCGTCCGCCGCGGCATCTACCAGTACACCTTCTACTGGGACAACACACCCCAGGGCGGTGGCATCCGCCCATTCCCGGCCTTTAACGACACGTACGTCCGCGACGACCTTATGGAGATCTCGGCTTTTGGCGAGGAGGCGCCGTCGGCGGACGGCCGGCTCCATTCCCCGCTTACGACGCTGGTACAGAGCTATGTTGCGCTGCGCGAGGCCGAAGCACGCGAGGCTGAAGCAGCATCGCGGGCAGCTGCACTGTCTTTCGCCCTCGAGTCGGCTCCAGGGCCGCCGTCAGACCTGCTCACCGATGCTCAGCGCGCGCAGGCAGTGACGGTGGTCGAAGGCTACTATGCCGACGCTTCGCGCGGTGGCGTGGCTGCCATCGAGACGCAGCTCTCCAACGCCGAGCTCATGGAACGACTGCGGACCATTCACGCCGAGGAGCTGCCTGAGCACTTGCGCCAACTCGAGGCATCGACGCGGACGACAACGCCTCTGGGGCGGCTGCTGTGTGAGCGGATGCTGGCTGCCGTGCATGGCGACGTCGAGCGGACGCGTATGCATGCCGCGACGGCCTCGTCGTCGTTTCTACACATCCCCCCAGGGCCAGCGAGTCGTGCCGCTCCCACCGCCACAGCAGTGGAGCCAAGGCAGACTCCAAGATGCGCAGGCGCCGTCGTAAGAGCAAGCAGCGTGGCAACGCTGGCAAGAAGAAGCAACGGAAGAAGCAGAAAAGGGCGCGAGTGGTGGTGACAACGACAACGACGACGACGACGACGGCCGGCCGGCCAACGCGCGCGCCGCAAGATCTAGGAGTACGACACCTGTCTTGCTCCGGGGCACGCCATGAACTGGACGGTGGGCGAGCTGCTCCATGGGGCATGGTGGACGTGGTCTGCGGCGAGCAGTCTCTACTCGCGAGCACAACAAGCTACATCGGGAGTCTTGGGAGGGGCGGTCGGTCCTGTCCCGCAGGTGTACGGCGAGGTCTTTGACGCTGTCACGGGCGATCTCGCTAACGCCAGCGCTGGCGGTGCGGTGTCCGCTGTTTGATGGCGGCTGGCTCTTTAAACATCGCGAGGTCCAACGCCTGAGAGGGGGGGGGGGGGGGGCTTTTTACTCTGTCACCATGGGGGTCAACACGGGCTCACCCTGTCGTTAACCAGGTGTGAACGGGAGCTAGACGCGAGGCCAACGTCTCCAGCTCGCGTGCCGGCGGCAACGGGGGGCGTGACTTGGGCAGCGCCACAGTGAGCGCGCTCCTGATAAGATCATCAGAGAGCGATGGGATAAACTCGGTGACCAGGGTGTTGATCAGACTCTCCTCCTCCACGGCATCGTCTGCCAAGGCGACGTAGAGGATCAGGGTGACGACAAATTCCCAGCCGACCGCGTTTGCATTGCACCCAATGGTCGTTGCGATGTGGGCGAGAAGGTCCTTGCCAAAGGGCTTGCCGCCGTCGGCGTTTCGCATGGCGAGCAGGAACCTGTAGAGGCACGTGACATGCGACTTCTCGAGTACAGTGTGCGCGCGTGGCACCTTGCTGTCGGCGGTAAAGTAGTTAATGAGAGCGCCAACGATGGTGGGTCCAACGATGGGGGCGTCGAAGATGTCCATGGCGGTGGGGCGGTCCCCGTTGACGAGCCTGGCGGCGGTGCCGCGGACAGGCTCCCAGCAAATCGAGGCAGCAGTGGCGACGTCGATGGCGGCAATTGTCTCAAGTGAGGCACGGTGGTTCTTGGTGGCTCTCAGCAGAAGGTCGACGATCTCGCGCGGACCGCAGAGGTTCTGAGTGGCTGTCGCGGCCACGCACGTGTGCTCGTTGTAGCGTTGTGCGCGGCAAGCATCGCATTGAATCCAAGCATAGACGCGCCCGCCACCCTGGAGACAAACCGCTGTCGGCCAAAGACGGGAGGCACGAGCCTGAGCGCGGCGTCGAGAACGAGCGTGACGAACGACTCTGTGAGCCTGAGCGCAGGGGCGAGAACACGCGCAAGCACATCGCCAAAGAGCGGATGGTACTCGACAGTGTCTGCGATCTCCACCTCGGCGACATGCGATGAGCCCAGCGCGATGGCCCGGAAGAGTGAGCCGATCTGGGCCAAGACCAGCCGAGCAACGGACGCCTGGTTCAGCCACTGCACCGGACTGCAGCTGAAAAGGTCGCCGAGAGCATGAGGCGAGACAAACACTGCCGCGGCAATGCCAACGCCCCAGGGAGCCATCGGCTGCGTTTTGGTTACATTCAGCGGGGCCTCTGCCAGGCGGTCCGGAGTCTGCCCAGCCATGTGGCGCGATGCATTTGCTGGGGCAGCCACAGCACTTGCCGCGAGCGGGCCGCCACCTGCGAGACCAGCAAGCAGGTCCATGCTCAACGCACAGGCAGAATCAGTGGAGATCCTGGCCGCATTCGCCACTGCATCGGCACTGTTCTCGTCCTCGTCTTCGTCGTACGGCACCTTGACGTGGCACGGGTAAATAGCCGTGCTATGGCCGAGGAAACGCGAGTAGTTGGCGTTGGTCGTCACGAACGAGACGTAGTCGCCGTCAATGCCGGCAGGCACACCTCCCGCCCCATGGGACGCAGGATCAGCTTCGCCGTACACGTACATGGCCGCCACACGGAGTGCAGCAGGCTCGCCACGGAGTGCCCCGTCGCATGCAAGCATGCGGTGGTGGAGCATGTCGTCCGAGGACGCAGCGCGTGCTGCCATCAGGGCACGCGAGTTGGCAGCGCTGGCGTCCGCCAGCGAGTTGATCATGTTGCCGGTGGCAGTGCGAGACTCGCTGATCGCGAGATAGTTGAGGACGGCCATGATCAGGCCGGTCGCAGCCAGGAGCGCAACGAACCCGACAAAGAGAGAGCCAGCCCACCAGAAAATAGGCGACATCGACTCGTCCTTGTCCGACTTGCCGCTCTCTGCATCGTCGAGCGCGCCCGTGCGGCCCATCATTGTGTACTCGCTCGGGTGGGCGTGCCCGTGGCGATTGGTGAGGTGATGGTTGTGCATTCGGCTACTCACAAGGGATCCCACGCAGTAACGTGCTACGGCTTTACCTCCACTGAAACAAAAAAGGGGCAGGAGACGTGTGGCTGGGGTGTGGCCTTGCTCCGAGTGTTTGGTCGGGGGAAGTGTGCTCTGTATTTGATGGCGGGCGGGGCGAGGCGCAGAACGCAATAGAGGCGAGCGGTCGTGATCGACAACGCGACGCAGACGACGAACTGGGTCCCGGACGCACCGGGCGCGTTCGTGGTCGCGTTTTCGACGGGCTCGAGGAGGACACGGCGGTCACCGGCTCAGTAAACGACGGTGTTCAATCAACCTTCACCTCCTCGTGGGAGGAGTCGAGCCTCAGTCGGTACCGGGCCAAAGTGGGAGCAAGCGCGGACGAGAACTTGCGGCGGGCAGCGGACGTCGCGATGTCGAGAAGCGCCGCCGAGTCAGAGAAAAGGACGAAGAACTGGTCGCCGAGATCGTTGCCCGGCCGGACGCCGACGGCAGAATGAGACCGCGTCCAGCGGAAGAGAGGGATCGACGCGAGGGCGTCGAGGTACTGTGTCCTCTCGTCAGCATCGATGGCAGTTCGGAGCAGAAGCGTTTCCCCCACGGCGAGACGGTGGTTGTCGACGTAGAGAACCTGGAGGGCAGCTCCGGCGCGCCGCTGGACAGGGCGCATGACGTGGTAAAAATCAGGAACAAACGTGTCGTACCGGTCCGCCCACTCGGGCGCAGCATCGCAAGTCACAGGCACGATGTTGACCAGGAGGGCGTCGTGCTCGAGCTCTGCCATAGGAGGCACGAAAGGGACAACTGCACCGAGTGACCGTGACATGGCCTTTGCCTCGGATGCGCACGTGTCGGCAGCAGCGTTGAGGACGAGGCGAGCAAGGCGCTCGTCATCCTCCAGAGCAGAGACGATGGCCTCGTGCGCGTCGCCGAGGCCGGCCACAGTGACCAGCGTCGACGCCGCAGCAGCGGCAAATGCGGCAAATGAGACAGATGGCGACGACCGCAGCACCTCGGCGGCGGCGACAGCACCCTCCGACCACTCATCAGGGTCAACAGCCTCCAGCGCCCGGCACACGGCCGCGCGCATCTCCTCGTGCGACGGGTGGCAGCGCCGCGCCCGGGGGGAAACGAGAGGTGCGGACGAGTAAAGGAGAACGCCGGGCGCGGAGCGGAAAGCCAGCATGCGCAACGCTTCAACGTCCGTGCGCATCGGGTCGAAGCACCCAAACACGACGCCCTGCTCCAGCAAGACCACAGCGCTCGGAGGGAGGCATGGCTCGCCACACGACTCATCCCACTCCTGGCCTTCAAGGCGCTCGAGCTCGTCCAGGACGAGGAACGCCACGTCGTTCTCATCGTTGCGCACAAGAAACTCAAAGTACTCGCGCAGAACGTAGTGAGCGTCGACAAGGACCTGGGAGGCCTTTGGTGGGCGATACATCTTGAACACGGGAGCCCCAGCGCCGGCTTGGAGGGCGAGGGCGCCGTACGGGCACGGCTCCCAGCCAGGATTGTCGTCATTCGGCCCGTACGCAAAGCCCAACAGGTCCGTGGTCAGCTGGCTCATGTTGTGGACAGGCGTCACGAGGTGGTGCTCCCACGCACCTGGCACGTCATCATACGCACCACCCTTGTTCACGGGATCGGGCTTGGCCGTGAAGCAGCCGCCCTCGCGCCGCTCAGTCGACGCACACTGGCAGCAGAACAGCAGAGGCGGGGAGCCAATGGGGATCGGCCGGACGCAGCAGACGCCGAGCCCAAACTGGCGAGTGCCCGAGTCACCGAACGCCGCGACTACCTCTTCGAGGTAGTCGACCACGGTCTTCTTCACCATCGCATCGTGCCTCGCCACCCTCTTCGTCTGCTTGTTCCCCTTGACCTTCTGCAGCTTGACCTGCTCGAACACCGACTGCTTAATGAGGAGGGCGTGTTTGCGGACCAAGGCGTCCTTCACGTCGCCTTCTTTCACGAGCGACGCGTGCGGCGCCTGGCCGGCCCTGCCCCGATGGCATCGCATCCCAGTGCTCAGACTGGGTCAATAAAGCAAATGATGTACTGACGATTGAGATTGGTGAGGTGATGGTTGTGTATTCGGCTACTCACAAGGGATCCCACGCAGTAACGTGTTGCGGCTTTTACCTCCACTGAAAACGAAAAGGGGGCAGGAGACGTGTGGGTGGGTGTGGCCTTGCTCCGAGTGTTTGGTCGGGGGAAGTGTGCTGTGTATTTTGATGGCGGGCGGGGCGAGGCGCCGAACGCAATAGAGGCGCCTGTTGGTCGAGTGAAAGGCTCCCCGGGTGCGTCGCTGCGGGCGGCGGCGGAGGCTTTCTGGCCACGCGGTGGTGGGGCGGGCGGAGGCTTTCTGACCACCGCTTGCCTGCCCAGCCACCCCCCCCCCCCCTCCCCCCCTCCCCTCTTCTACAGTCACTCCTAGCTGAGACCTCCTATATTCCACGTTGACACATACCTTAGCTTATATAACATACTCTGCTCATGCTTCAATGAATTAGACTCTCTACGCCATGCCTTTGCGTCCGTATTGGCTATTCAGTGTCCGCGAGCCGCCCTCGCCACCTCCTCACCAACGCCCGGCCACCCACAGTCGTCGCCATCACCTTTCCTCCTGCAACAAGCTTGATATCCCACAAACAGCATTACTATACAACTAGCCTTGTAAATCTGCTTTGTGTACACTAGCAGGAACTGGCTGATGCAACAGATGGTTTCTCTAATCGATGTTGAGGGCTATGTGTGTGGTTCTGTACCTGGGTTGCTGCTGGCCTACGCTGTGAGTGCGTCCGGCGAACGTTCAAGCGTTCTCCTTTCCTACCCAACTCACCGACACCTCAAACACTCCTCGGCTGCTATACAGAACACCGACTACCAGTGATTGTCCAAGCACCTGGTTGTTACTGTCCACCTTTTGCAGCTCCAAGCCGTTTGCATATAGCCATGCTGGACGAGAAGCGTGAATCGGACGAGCCGGTCGTCCGCGGCCTTTTTCGTCCTTCGCTTCCATCCGCGGCCCCACCGTCCTTATCGCCTTGAGCATCTGTGTCGCCATTACAATCACCTTTACCATGTATATTCAGGGTCATTCCAGCAGTACTGAGCTTATGCAAGTGGGAACCCACCCAGCTGTGGCTCTGCCGCCACCACCGCCGCCCCCGCCGTCCCCGCCGCCGTCACCGCCCCCTCCCGTCGCGCCGCCCTCGCCGCCTCCACCGCCCCCGCCGCCATCGCCGCCATCGCCCCCGCCCTCCCCACCTTCCCCACCCGCTCCACCCGCTCCCTATCCAGATGACGAGTACCCGGTCACCGTCCCACCTCCTCCCGAAGTCCGCATCTACGGCGCAGACACTTTGACTGCTCGCCGGGCAAAGGCCTGCTACGAGCGCCGAGTCGCCTTTGACACCGTCCCGCCCGACATCATCGTCACCACCCCAGATGTGTACACCACATACCTGTACGTGTTTACCAATGTCGAGCCCGTACGTTCTCGTGTTCACTACCCGTATCGTCTTCGTCTTTTGCCGTTTAGCCCGGCCCCATGGCCGGGGTGGGAGCTGCCGTACGACTTTGGCGACATCATCTCAGCAAAGTCCGAAGCCTCGTTTGCGGCAACGATGGCCGAAGCGGAGCAGGAAGGCAGGCTGTGGCCCGAAGACAAGACTCCATCGACGCTCATCATTGTCCGTGGCCAGTTTATGGACAAGCCTGAGCGACTCGAGTCATTCAACCTGTTGGCCATGTCTATGCATGACGTCGAGAGCCACGACATCGCCTTTGTCTACGACACCTCAATTGACGTCACGCCGGAGCGGCTCGAGGAGTTGAGTGTAAGCTATCCATGGGCATTTGGCCCAAAGAGCAAGGTTATACGCCGCGGCTCGGACATCAGGGCTCTCTTCTCAGAGTGTATGCCCAAGCTCAACCTCGACACCCTCCCGTTCACCCTTGCTGGTTCGCCAGGTTGGGTCTTCTCCACCGAGACCTACATTCCCTTCATCTTTGGTTGCGCTCCTGACTCGACGTACGAAATCGAGCTGTTTGAGCGTGAGTACGACTTGTTCTGGACGTTGGAGCTCGACGTCACCTTTACCGGCGCTGACCCATGGACAGACTTTTTCAAGCGGGTTGATCTCGACGTCGTCGACCACGGCACTGGTCTCCGCCTTGACAAGCCTGTCGACTTGATCACCATCAAGCCGCTGCGGACCACGGCAAAGGACGGTGCATACCTGTACCACAACACGTATATTGATGGCCCCATGTTCCGCTACGCTCAGCTCATCGTGGTGCAGCGGGCCTCGCGTGCTCTGCTCGAGCGCATCTGGGCTGACGCTGTCGACTGCGGCTTCGCCGGCTACTGCGAGCAATCACTGCCGACAGCTTGCGGCTTCTGGGATGACTGCTACGCGGCTTCGCTCTCGCCCCACACGAACCCCAATATGATCTTCTCTCCGTATCAATGCGCCGTTCAGGTCATGCAGCGCGCTCTCGATGAGATCACCCAGGCTAGCCAGGGCGTCCCGGCTGATCAAGTGGCCAACATCGAGCGGGCGGACCCTGATCAGTGCGCTGATGCTGCACGCTACCACTCAGACTACGCAGTTTGGCTTCACAAGTCTGAAGGATACTCACGCGACCATGCCATTAGCCTCAGAAAGGCATGGTATGACTTGCACAATGTGCCTGAAGACAAGCGCTACGATGTGGGTACATTGGAGTAACATGTACAAGCCAGCCAGCCTTTGCCTCCGAGCCACCCGTCGCGCCATCCGCCTGACCGTTTCAACAGCATTCAATCACACCACACGGCCCTACTTTGTTCTTTGTTGCTTGCTTGCATCACCTGGCGCCCTTGATCACAGCCGCGTAGTCTTGCGGCAAGAGGTGAAGGAGGGTGCCGCGCGAGACGTGGAAGGCGGCTGCCGACTCAAACGGAGTCGGGCAGTCGAGGCCGTCAAAGGCGTAGAGGGTCTTAGAGAAGGTGCAAAAGTGTGGGTCGGTGACGCCATCGGCCTTCTGATACATAAAGTGGCCGCGGTTCTCGTACGACGAGGTGATGTCAAAGTCGTGCGGCGAGGGATGGGTGAGCGAGGCGCCCATAGTTGCAGCGCCGGGCAGGAAGAAGGTGATCGGGTTGAGATCATCGTAGTTAGCGAGGACGTGCGAGGTGTAGGTGACGAGGTTGGCGGTGCAGGACGAGGCCTCGGGTGCAGACGCCATCCGAATGTCGTACTTGGAAGCCACCGTGTCCGGCAGGATGCCGTCCGACTCGCACGATGAGTAGACAAAGACCCGCGGGACGATGCCAGCGGCGGCGAGGTCGTCGAGGAGCGGTGCGAGCCAGGCGGCGAGGTCGGGGACGCAGCCCGGGATGACCACATCCCAATGGTCCTTGATCTTGGGCGGAAGAATCTTGCGCTGGCCTTTCTTGCCGTTGACCACGTTGGGCTCGTATACAATCTCCTCGTAGTCGCCAAACAGGATGTTGTCCACGGCCTGCACGCCCTGCATGCACACGTGGTCCTGGTTGCCCGTCGACGCGTGCTTCTACGTTTTTTTTGCGCCAGAACACCACCCGACGTCACACCATGGGCAACAACGTTTCGGTCAACACCCACATGCAGACCGCACAGGTCTTCCACGAGTATGACTGCCGTATCAGCTCGTCTGAGGTGAGCCTCGTCAGCTCGAGGCCCAAGGCCACCTACATCTCGGAGCGCCGCCTCGGTAGTGGCGCTTTCGGCACCGTCTACGCCGTCCGCCGCGAGAGTGACCCAGACACGCTCTGGGCCTTCAAGCAAGTGCTCTTTGATCCCAACGAGCCTGGCGATGCTGTCACCAAAATGACCGACGTACTTGACGAGGCTGCGGCCCTGCGCGGCATCCGCGACCCCAACCTCATCCACCTCGAGCACGTTTTCCCCTTCCTCCGCGGCACAGCAAGGTCCAAGACCTAGGCCTACAAGGCCAAGGCGCGGAGGACAGCCAAGCGCAAGATCGCCACTCGCATCAAGGATGAAACCGGTACCTGCCATCTCCTTCTCGAGATCATGCTCACCACAAACCCGGCCAACCGCCGCCCGGCGGCCGATCTGCTCAACTGCGGCTTTGTCGCCGGCCTCCGCCATGCCCTCGCCTCTGATCTCGCTCAGCCTGCCTTCACCACGCTTGCCGTCTCTGCCGATTGGCAGTACCGCGGTGCGTTCCTCGCCCCGCTCGCCGATCCCAACCTCAACGACCACATCCGTGGCAAGATCGTCGACGTCGTCTTCCAGTCGGTCGGCCTTGGAAACACATCCACCACGCAATTGTCCTCGGCCTCGGTCCCGCTCATCCACCAGGGCATTGTCTCGCTCATCTACACCCATCTCAACCACAACGCCCGCAAGGACACCACCACAGAGTCGATCATCAACCAGTTTGCTGCCGCCCTCCTCGGCCAGTCTGTCGAGCCATCGGCCTCGGTCCACACCGTGCCCCACACCGATGTGCCCGGTGTGGTCACCGGCGCCGTCCTCGCCGGCCCGTCCGATGAGCCCGATCTCATCAGCGCCCTCATGGCTCTCTTTGGTGGCCGCGATGCCAAGGCCACCGTCAAGATCATGAAAAAGGAGCTGGCCATTCTCGTCAAACTCCTCGACGACAAGCGCTCAGCCTTTCTCACCGCCGATGCTATCATTGCTTGCCCAGGCATGATCCCGCTTCTCCTCTCCCACGTTCGCCGCTCGATCTGGCTCGAAGACTCGTTAACCTTCGAGACATGCGCCGTCCTCCGCGCAGTCTACCGCCTCCGGCCCAACACCTCGTCTGTTTACCCCATCAGCTCGCTTCTAGCTGCTTTAGCCGCACCCAACGGCCGATCGGCCTACAACAGGACCTTCCGCCTCATGTACGAATCGCTCCCGAAAACCGTCAACAGCTGCCCTCAGCTCATCGCTCGCTACGCCGCCATGTGCGATGAGAAACCGCTCCGCAACCGCCTTGATCGCATCCTCCGCTACGCCCAGTCCTCTGGCATCTCCTTTCCGCCCGAGCTTGCCCAAGTCTGGGGCCATGTCCTCGCCCAGCGCGCGCTCACCGCTCTCCACATCGGCGTCCAACCCGATGCCGCCAACCACATCAACATCTCGCAGGCTGCCAACGCAGCTGCCCTCGCTTCCCTCGCCGATGCGCCGGCCAAGTCACTTGCCGTTGCAGGCAACTTCTGGCTCCACGCCTACGCCCTCGGCCTCGATCGCGCTGCAGTCAACGACGCCATCGCCTCGCTCTCCAACATGCAGCTCTGCACACAGATGATGTCTGTTGCTCTCGGTGCCTCGATTCCGCTCGTCCGCTGCCAGACATGCTCCTGCGCCGCCAAACAGGGCATCGACGTTTGCATCGCTTGCGCTCGTAACTGTCACGCCGGCCACGAGTTCGCCGACAGCTTCCACGTCATCCGCACCGTCGTCACTCAGACCTACTTTCCTTGCGAGTGCTCCACCATCGCCGGCTCCTCCTGCAAGAGTCGCTCTGCCAACTCGGCCCGCCCCATCGCTGCTCTCGACTCGATCGCTCCTCCTGAGTCCCTCCTCGCCGCCCCGCACCAGATCATCGGTGCCGTCTCGGCCGCTGTCGCGCCGCCCGAGTTCAACGCCTGGATTGAGCCGGTCATCGACCACGATCCGGTCGGCCACACCTCGACCGCCACCTTTAAGCTCTACGATCTCGAGCAGGATGCCGCCACTCGGTATCGAAACATGACTCTGCCTGCCGGCTCGCTCGAGCCTTACATCTCACGTGATGTGGCCAAGCTCTTCCTCTCGGTCTCGCCCCGGCTATACGCCATCGCCCAGAGCCACGGCTTTGCCTTTTCGCCCATCACCACCTCGCCCAACCCTATCGACGTCGTCTTCTACTACGAGATTGAGGTCTGCACTGCCAAGCTCATTGGCGACTCGGACTATGCTGTCGGCATGGGCCTCATGTCTGCCGTCCGCAACCCGTCGTCTGCCCTCTTTGTCGGCTGGGGCGAGTCCGAGTGGGGCTACCACTCGGACGATGGCGGACTCCGCCACGCCACTCCCACAGGCGGCAGCACTATCATGCCATGGTCGGCCGGCGATCGCGTCGGCTGCGGCATCCACGCCTCGGGTCGCGTCTTCTTCACGCTCAACGGTGTTTACATCGACTCGCTCCCCCAGGTCCCGCCCGACGTCCCGCTCTACGCCACCGTCACCGTCCAGAACCTTGTCGGCGACGTCGTGTTCTTCTTTGATCGAGGCGACTGGGCCTTTGACCCGACTCGGTGGGTGGTGAGCCCCGAGATGGCGTCCGCAACCTGGGCCCCGTCGTGCCTCCCGCTCGCCTCGGCGGGCCTCACTGCCCTTATCACCGCCTTTTGCCTCAACATGAGCCTCGATACCTTTGTTGGTATCTTTGACGCCATCGGCAGGTCCGTCATCGCCACCGATGCACGCATCAAGCACGCCCGCGCCCTCGCCGCCATTGACAACTCTGCCACAGACAGCTCGTCATCGCAGCCGTCGCTCGGAGACGTTGCCGCAGCTGCCCAGAGTGGGCACGCCTTTGTTCGCATCGTGTGGATCCTCCAAAAGTCCAACGATCCCGAGGCCGCCCGCCGCGCCGCCGCCATCATTGCCCTTCCGTCCTTTGCCGACGTTTTGGCCGCCACCGCAAGCATCTCCTCGCCGCTCCTCGTCTCGGGCCTCGAAGCGTTTGTCGCCGACCTCGATCGCCCCGATCTCGACCTCGAGCCATGACTTCCTGCCCCTGTGCTTGATGGCGGCGCACCACAACCGAAGACATCAAACTTGTTTCCCATCGCGTGTGCCACAGCTACTACACAGCTTACTCGTTAGCCCCACGCTCGGCAGCATGCTGCGCCGCGACCTTGAGAAAGACCTCCTCGAGCGTCGAGAGCGCGAGGCCGTAGGCGGCCAGCGGAGAGTTACGCTGCGCAACAAGCGCCTCGAGCTTGTCGAGGAGGAGAGGAAAGGCGCGGATGTGCGCTGTGGGAAGCCGGAACACAAGATCGCTGGCTGAACCCAGTCGCGGGACCGCCATCGCGCCGGGCACGTGCTCGATGACCACGGCCCGTAGCGCGTCGCCATCGCCCGAGCCGCGCTGCTGGAGGGTGAGCAGATAGCCGACGCCAAAGTGGGCCTTGAGGTGAACAGTCGTCCCGGTGACAACCAGCTCACCGTGCATCATGACTGCAATGCGGTCGCCGAGCTGCTCGGCCTCGTCCATGTAGTGGGTGGTGAGCAAGATGCCGCGGCCGGCCTTGTACCGCTGGAGCAGGGCCCAGACAGAGCGGCGCGCCGCCGGATCCATGCCCGACGTCGGCTCGTCGAGGAGCACAATCGACGGGTTGCCCACAAACGCTAGTGCAAGCGAGAGCTTGCGCTTTTGTCCGCCCGAGTACGTGCCGGTAGCCTGGTTGGGAAGCGCGTCGAGGCCGACGTCGGAGAGCAGGCTGGCTGCCTCGAGCGGCTCGCCGCCAACAGGCACTGCTGACGGCCGCATCGCCAACCACAGCGCCATGTGCTCGGACGCGGTGAGACGGTCGTACAGCCGGTCTTGTTGTGCGCACACACCGAGCCGGACTCCCGACGAGAGCGCGTGGGCAAGCGGAACACCACAGAGCCACGCGTCGCCACCACTCGGCGCAAGCGTGCCCATAATCATCGAGACCAGCGTGGTCTTGCCGGCCCGTTGGTTCCCGCAAGAATGACAATCTCCGAGGCTCGGACGCTGAGATCAACGTCGTTGACGGCAACAAACGGCTTGCCAGCCTTGCGGAACTGTTTGCGGAGAGCCCGGAGGCGGACAGGCACCTCGTGACCCGAGGCCAGCAGCGACGCGGCCTCAGAGTTGAGCGAGCCGCCAAGTGGATCCGGCGGGTTGAGGAGTCCGATTGGCGAGCCCGGCCACCAAAACTTGGGCGAGAGGAAGAAGAGCAACGGCCGCCGCGGCGCGTGGTCGGCTGGGAGCACTTGGTCAAGATACAAGCCGACGAGCAGAAGGAGCGCGGCGTCGAGTGCCAGAAACTCGAGGCAGGTCGTCATCGAAACTGGCGACGTCGCGTGCGACGAATGGAGGCCCGCCGCCGAGAACGAGAACGCCGCGCCGTGCTCCTCCATCCGGCTCATGAGGTGCGCAAAGTGGCCAAACGGCGTGGCCGGCACGAGGAGAACAAGGATCTTGAAGAACCATGAGACCTCGGCCTTGGAGAGGACAAACTGCTCCCCGAGGACGTAGACAAGGATCGAGCCAACAAGCGCTGCGGTGAGGACCGCCGACGCCGTTCGCCGCGACGAGACAATGGTCGAGACCACAAGCGCAATAAAGACTTGTGAGATGCCAAAAAGGAGGACGACAACAAGTAAGGCGCCGAACGAGGCGTGCTTGACGATGGATAGCGCGTAGAGGGCAGCCACAAACGCAAGCGCAGTAACAATCAGCACCGCCAGATCGGCGCTCAGCTGTGCGAACCAGTACGCCGAGTCCATCATGCCGGCTGCCGTGAGCGCCGCCCGTGTTCCGTCCTCCTTTTCCTTGATGTACCCGATAGCGGCAAAAATGGTGACGTAGGCAAAGCAGAAGGTCCAGTAGTACGGCCAGAGAAAGTACGAGCCCTGGCCCGGATCGACCGATCCCTTGGACGGTAGCGCCTGAACGCGGGCGTTGAGCACCAGCGGCACGCCACTCGCCATGCTCGTGTACGCCTCGAGGAGCGCAATCTGCAGCGAGGCATAGCCCGAGTCGAGCGTGCCGGCCACCTGGGCCTCGTCGCTCTGATCCGGCGGAGACGAGTTGAGCTGGCTATGCCTCATCCCGTACAAGTAGGTATGGATGACATACTCAAAGGAACTCTTGTCCACGACCCCAAACGAGACGCCGCCCCAAAGAGCAGGATTATCGGCAAGGGCACGAGTCAGGGCGGTCTCATCGGCGACGCCACTCGCCACGAGCGAGACGCCGCGTTCAACCTTGGCACCCTCGACCACTCTGGCGACCAGATCTTTGGTAGCCAAAGTGACAGGCGCATAGAGTATGTCCACACAGTTTGCTCGGCCGTGGCAAAGCTCTTCCAATCGAGGTAGATCATGAGTCGGTGGTGAGAGATCACCAGGCTGTGTCGTCGGTCCTGACGACGAGTTGATGCCCACCAGAATGGCCACAAACATGAGCGGGAAACAGATTTGCAGCAATGTGACTCTGGCATTCCGCCGCCGAAGGAGAAACTCCTTCCGCAATAGCGCACATGCTTGCCTTGACCACTCTCCCATGTCTCTCACTCGTAACCCTCTATACTCGCCAGCAAGAGGAATGCTTCTCAACCTCGCTCTCCCACAGACTCGAACTGTCTCCGACTCTCTCCCTGCTAAACGTCCGGCTTGCGCGAGAGAGCGATGGCCGCTCCGATTTCCCCATCCCCACATGAAAAAAAAGTATGAAAAAGGGCGTGCAAATAGAGCCGCCATGGATCACCTTGCCATCACCTCCCTGCTTGCTAGCTCTCACAATCAGCCCGGGATAATGGATGGTAGAAGCGATGACAGAAGATAAACCCCTCAAATACGGACACAAAGCAGCGCTAGCAATGCTCTGCAGAGATCAAAACATCATCTTTGTTGTGCGCTATGAACTGTCTGGCTGGCTTGGGCGTCAAACAATCACTCGCCGAGTCTCTCGCTTGTGCGGCGCGAGAGTCATTCAGACAAAGGCGCGAGGTGAAGCCTGCTGCAGCTACACTTCACTTGCTACCGCCTGCTGTTGCCACGCATCTTGCCGCTAGTCGAGGGCATGTCGTTGCTGGCGCTTGTGAGGAAGAACTTGCTGGTGGCGAGCCGCAACAAACGATTCTGGGCAACGCTCGTTGTCCTCCCGCTCATCCTGGCGGTAGCCGCCGGGCTGGTCACCAACTCGGTCTCGTTTCTCAACGTCTCTCCCTTTGCCATCACATCGCCGGCTGTTTGGGGAGACCTTTCTCCGTCGACCAAGCTGCCTATTCTGCTTGATTCGCCTGTGGTTGACTCGATCGAGTGGCGGAAGCAGTTCTGGTCGCGGTATCCGCACGTCACGCCGGCACCTGATGGCGTCCGCATCTTTGCCAACATCTCTGACCTCGCGGCAGCCGAGTTTGACTCGCACGCCAACGACACTACCTTTCCGGGCGGGTATCGGGTGCACAATGCGAGCGGATCGCTGGAGGAGGTGACCGCGGTGACGGTGACGGTGATGTACGCGCCGGACTCGCCGCTTGTTCTCCCGTTGATGGTCAAGGATCTGGTGGCGACGGTGCTGGCGTGGCGGACCGGAAACGAATCTGGCCCTGCACCGGTGCTCCGGGAGACACAAGCGCCAGTGAACAACAAGCATGTGGATGCTGCTTTTACTTGGGGCCTCTTTGGCCCGCTGATGATGTCGTACGCCATCGGCTTCTTTGTGGCCGGCTACACGACGGTCATTGTCGACGAGAAGGTGTCGGGGACCAAGGAGCTGCTGCTGCTTATGGGCTGTCCCATCGGTACATGGTGGGCCTCGTTCTTTGTGGTACACTACGGGATCTGGCTCGTGGTGGCGGGCGGCTCGCTCGGCATCGTGTACAGCTTCGGGCTGGTGGTGGTGACGAACAACACCGTTCTGGCGCCGGTACTGTTTCTTCTTGTCTCCGGTGCGGCGCTCATTCTCTGCTCGTACTTGCTCTCGTTCCTCTTTGACACGGCCGAGAACTGCGCTCGGGTAGTCCGGATCATTGTCTCGCTGATTGTGATTCTCCCGTACGTGCTGATCACGGTCATTCTGCACAACCCGTCGTCGCCTGCTCTCCAGACGGCGCTCTGCGTTCTTCCGACGTACGCGCTCTACCGCGGCTGGACACTTCTGGGACTGTACATCTACACCCGAGCCCCGATCACGCCTGGCACACTTCTTGCGGCGCACAATCAGCTTATACAGCTCATTGGTGTTCAGCTGGCGGTCTCTCTGGGCGCAGCGCTGGCCATCTATGTGCTCGACATGCGGTCGCGGGCGGCAGCGACAGCGTCGTCGATGGTAGCGGCCGATCCAGAGAGCGGTCCGTGCGAGCTGCCTGCGACAGCGGATGCCGACGTTGTAGCCGAGGCGGTGCGAGTTGCTGCAGCGGAATGCTTGGACCCGCTGCGGGTTGTGGGCGTGACCAAGGCGTACGGCTCGGGCGAGGAGCGAAAGGTGGCGAACAAAGCTGTCTCGTTTGGCATCGCGCAGTCCGAGGTGTTGGGCATTCTCGGACCCAACGGTGCCGGCAAGAGCACGTTGCTCAAGATTGTCTCTCGAGCGCACGCCCCGGACTCTGGGGCGGTGGTCCTCGACGGCAGGCTAGGGGTGTGCTCCCAGCAAAACTCGCTGTGGGACGAACTGACCGGGCGCGAGCACCTGGAGATCTTTGCGGCGGTCAAGGGCGTGCCGAGCGCAGCTGTGCCGGCGGCGATTGCCGAGCTGGCCGAAGTGACCGGTCTGGCCGAGCACCTTGCGGCGCGGACCGAGACGTACTCGGGTGGAACAAAGCGGAAGCTGGCGCTGGCGCTGGCTTTTCTAGGCGATCCGCCGGTGGTGACGCTTGACGAGCCGTCGTGCGGGCTCGACCCTGCATCGCGGCATGCCATGTGGTCGATCATCCAGGCGCTGCAGCCAGGAAAGACAATCCTGCTCACGACGCACGCGATGGACGAGGCCGAGGCGCTCTGCTCGCGGGTGGCTATGCTTGTTGGCGGTGAGCTCAAGTGCATCGGCCCGATTCAGCACCTCAAGTCCAAGTTTGGTGCGTCTGTGAGGATCGAGGTTACGGCGCCAGACGATGTTGCGGTCGACGCCATCCAAGCCGATGTCGCAGCCGCGTTTCCCGCAGCCCGACTCGACCACGAGCACTTTGGCACGCTCGTGTACTCGATCCCGCGGGCGACAGCCGTGCTCCCAGACCTGCTGCGGACGCTTCTTCACGCTGTAGTCGACGTCCACAACGTTGTCGACTACTCGATCTCACAGTCGTCGCTCGAGCAAGTGTTTCTCCGGCTTTGTCGCCAAAGCGAAGACGATGCCTGAGTCTCGCCCCGCCCCCGCCCCCTGTCGACGATCATGGTCAACCACATACACGCCCCTCCTCCCACCAGCCCGAGCCAAAGCCCACCACCAATAGCCGCAATCACAATGGCAATCACGATGGACGATCACCCCCCAAAGCCCCGCAACTCCGCCACAGGCCGCCACCGCGCCAACGAACACGATCATGATCATGATCAAGCAGCAAACACCCCTCCCCACCCCCACCCCCCACCACGACCACGACCACGACCACGACCACGACCACGACCACGACCAAGCACCGACAAGCCAGCAGGCACGAAAAGCGGAACAGGTAGAGGCAACAGCAACATGCATGTGATACTCCGGATGGTTGTGAACGTTGTGTTTGGCCCCTTTGTGGCTGCGCAGTACCACTTCCCCTTTGGCTCTGATCAGATCGAAGGCCTTGCGGGAGTGTTTGGGAGTCATGGTCATCGACAATGGCGACTTGCCCTGCTCATCATCTGGTACATACCGCTACTCATTGCGCCACCATTTATGGTATATGCTCAATCGGTATTTCCTTCCATACCAAACTTGACCTCTATCTTTGCATATCTCTACTTTATCTATCTCTCTTGTGCTCCGCTACCCTTTGTCCTCTTTCCCTATGTCTATGCTTGGCAAGGTTGGTCTCTGGCCATGTGCCTCCACTCGCTCCGCGCATGGCGAAATCAAACATCATCAACAAGTGCAACAACAAGTACAAGTACAACAAATACAACAAGTACAACAACTCCAAGAGCTTCTTCTTCTCCTCCTCCTCATCCTCATCATCCTGGTTCGTCACCACTTGCTCATCGCCAGGCTGCCAAGCCGTCTTCTGCTGATGCTCAGAGTGTCATCCAGCCCATCCATCCGCCGCACTCGGTCCCGCCGGCTATGAAGGCCTTCTCTGATGCTGCAAGGAAGAGAAGGGCCCAGCAATCGAGCGGGATCTCCCCCGTGCCTCGGACTCGAACGCTTTGTCGTCGTCTTCGATCGTCTCAGCTTCGGCCTCGGCGTCAGCCTCAGCTTCAGCCTCATTGACCTCGTCGTCGTCGTCGTCTACCTTGGACGAGTCAGAGCGAAATAGTCCACTTTCGAGCTCGAGGCTGGTCTCCAGCCGGCCGACGTCGAGCTCGTCGTCGACGGCCTCGTACAGCTTTGACCGCCCCACTTCAAGCTCGTCGTCAGAACCTGCGTCGTCGGAGCTCCCGCAGCGGCTAGTGGTAACGTCGGCGCAGGGCTCAGCCTCACCGCAGGCCCGACCCAGAGCATGTACCCGGAGCAATCAGCCACCATGTCGTCGCTGCGCTCGCGCGGCAAGGCAGCCATCACTGCAGAGGTCCTGCTGAAGGGTCTCCACCGCGACCGCCCTGTCGTAGAGTACGACGGCGACCGGCGCAAGATCCGCGACTACCACGTCACCGTCTTTAACGCTTCGCGCAAGCTCCACCTGCTCTACCCGCAGTCGGATGCGCCCGACGCGCTCCCCCGCCCATGGTACGCCCGCATCCGCTGGGGCAACATCGGCATGCTTTTTGCCCTCCTCTGGCTCCACCTTCTCTTCCTCGCTTTTCCACTCGGTGACGACGTGCCGTGGCAAGGCAAAGTGGTCAACTCGTACATGCGCTCAACCTTTCAAGTCCTCACGCTCTCGGCCCAGCAGGCCTCGTCTGAGCTTCAGTGGGCCTCAATCGCCTTTATCGGTGCCCTCATCACCGCCTTTCTCATCACCCACGCCTACCTCTTTACACGCGTCCAGGACCTGTTCCTCTCCGGCCCCGCCGCCGCTGACTCGGCCTCGGCCTCACCGCAGCCCTCGCCAGACCGTGAGCCACCAAGCCCGCCACCGTCCATCAACCGCGCCATCGCCACCATGTCCTCGTTTCCAGACCTCCGCGTTGCCACTCTCCGCGCCTCGGGTGCCGCCATCGTCAAGCCGCCGCCGGCCGCAGTGAGCTCGGCCGACGAGCAGCAGGAGGAGCCCGTGCTCAGGTCGTCTCCGCGAGCAAACCCAGACGCCGGCCCGCACCTCACTGTCAACACCTCGCTACGCCGCAGTAGCAGCGATGGCTCCGCCGGTGAGCTCACACGCTCGATCCGGACCTTCAACGTGACCACCGCCATGAAGTGGGTCTTTAAGCCCGAGCCGACGGTCATGCTTGTCGCCATGCTCATTTTCTCGCGCAACTTTGCTGCCGTTACCTCGTGCGTTCCGCTCGACGGACAGGACCCATCCGACACCCGGCTCTACCTCCACTTTGACCCGGAGGTCCAGTGCTTTGCCGGCATGCACCGCATCTACTTTGTGGCCACTCTCTACGCCCTGCTCTTCTCATACCCGCTCTTCCTCGCCGACGCGCTCCACGTCTACTTTGCCGACCTTCTCGAGTTCGACGGGCTTGAGCCCAAGTATGCGCCACAGGCCATCGTGCTTGAGAAGATCATCGTCACTATCCTCGGCGCCATCTCGGTCACCTGGTCCGACTCGCCGGCTCGCCGGCTGTGGTTCTTTAAGGCTGCCGTGCTGGCCGTCATGGTCATCACTGCCGTGACCCGGGCCAAGGACTACCGCTGCCTCCTTCGTCCGGGTCAAAACCTCGAGTACGGCCGCTCGGGCGTTTTCCTCGCCTGTTCTGTCGCCTGGGTCGTCATCCTTCGCCTCTTTCTCTTCCTCCTTGCGCTCTGCTCGGGCGTGGCCGCGCAGACCGCGGTGGCGCTCGACGATCCGTCGTCAAGTTTTCCCACCCTTGTCTTCTCGGTTCTACTTGTCATCTCGGTCGCCGTCTTCGCTGCCATCTCCATCTGGTGGTACCGCCGCGAGACGCCGTTTGAGCACGCCATGGAAGACGACCCGCCAGTCACCTACTACCAGTACCGCGGAGGCTGGCGCTCGCCGACCTCGGCCATCGTCGCCGCCGACGCCGGCGCCTCGCCGGTCGACACCCTCGACGACGGCGGGCCCATCGCAAAAGTTGCTCTCGACCTCAAGCCGCGTTCGCTCGTCCAGCAGCGCGTCTCGTCGGTCGGTCTCGAGCTCGGTGCGTCCTCTACCGCGGCTCAGTTCCAGCCCATGAGCTCGCAAAGCTCGCCAGTCTCACTCGCCTCCTTTGGCGCCTTTGCCCACACCTCGTCTCGCCTTAAGCTTTCACCGCTCGTCACCCTCGCCACCCACGCTGGCCTCGACGCTACCCAGGAATCGGACGCCCACTCATCGCGCCCGCCGTCGCCGCGCTGGCCTGAACCTCCGCGATGGGTCTAGCTTTACTATTGTAGTCGCACACACCCCGCGCGAGCGCTGTGGTACCCTCGGCTGCTTACCTTCATCGTACCACCTTGAGGTCGGCCACAAACTCGAGGTCCATGGCCGAAAAGACCACCACCTCGAAGTAGTTGTCGCTATCGGCCATGGCCTCCCCAATCTTGGCGTAGAGCTGAGTCTCGGGCTCGACCCGCAGATCCGACCGCTCTTCGTCGCGCGAGTCCATGACCGTGAGGAAGCCCTCGTCATCCATCGCGATGAGCGCGTACTGGACGAGCTTGACCTCGGGTAGCTTGACTCGCTGGTCGCCCGAGAGCTTGTGCTCGAACCGCCGCCCCGTCGCCACCTCCTCCAGCATGAGATTGCACTTGGTGTGCCCGTGCTTGGCCGGCGCCGAGAGCACGTTGGCCACCACCTTGGCGATCCTATCCTTCATCACTACCACGTCGCGGTTTTTGACGCTATGCGCGAGCTTAAAGTTGAACGTCGACATTGCTGAGTGTTGTTCGCTTCGATGAGTTGCAGTTGTTGCTGCTAGCAAAATCAACCGAGTGGTGTGGCCAGCGCGCGTTTTTGCTTCGTCCCACCGGAAACTTCGGAGAGGCGAGCAGCAGGCACCATGGACCGCGGCTCTCCGCACATTCCCACAGAACACACACTGCGGACGCCGCAGCTTTTCTTGCAGTGCAGCTTTTACTTGCCAGCAACAACAGCTTGCCCACTCTACTGCGACGATGACGGCGCGTCGGCATTGCTGTCACTACTCAAGAGCTCAGCATACGCGGCGCGCTCTTCGGCCGTCTGGACGTGGATGGCGAGCGCGACTTCAGTGTTGGCCTTGGAGGCAGCCGCGTGCTCGGTGGCGGCGGCGGCGGCGGCGGCGGCGGCCCGTGCCTCGGCTCGCGCCAGGTCGCGAGCAACAACAAGGTCCCCATCGCGAAGGTACCATGGAGTAGCGTTGAGGACGGCGGCGCCGTCGACGTCCCAGGCGAGGGCTTCAGCACCGACCTCGTCGAGCTGGGTTCGATAGTAGAGCTTGGCGACTGCGACGGCGGGAAGGCCGTGAGCACTGGCGAGCGCCGCCGCGAGGTCGTCCTTGGTCGCGGTGGCAGCGATGGCGAGCTCGAACGGACCGTCGAGGGTATCGTCCTCGGGCGCGTCACCGAGGACATGCACATAGGTGTCGAGCAGAATCTGGCCCGGGAGCAGCGCCTCGTCGGCGTCGAGAACGTTGACAACGACGTCGACTGCATCGGTCTTGGCGTAGCGCTCAGGCAGGTTGTCCGCAAGACTGGCGTCGGGCTGCGAGAGGATGTGGGCTACCTTTTCGCCAAGAAGCTCGCGAAGCCGGAGCCTTGGAGCGACAGCCAGTTGCCCGGTGCTGGGCAGCGCGGCGGCAAGGTCGGCGGGGAGGATCGGAACGAGCGCAGCCTTGACTTTGGCCAGGGTTGCGGCACGCGCGACGACAAGTTCGCCCACAGGCAGGTATGGGAACGAGGCCTTGTTCTCCGGGTTGTGGTCCGAGTTGGCGACGTGGACAACAAGGGCGACCTGGCCCGGCTGGACCGACCGCCCGGCCTCGGCCCAGAGCGATGAGCCGGTGTAGAGGCCAAAGTCCGCAAGCGGCGCGGTGTCGATGGCCTCGGGCGCCATCCGGCGCTGGCGGAGCCTGATGTGGGACGACGCCGGCTCGCCGCCGAGCAGCTCAGAGAGGCGAGCCTTGAGCTCGCCGACGGTCTCACGGAGGTCGACCGGAAGCAGGGCGTCCGCCTCGCGCTCGGCGCCAACTCGCGGTGTGCGCTCGCCCAGCGCCGCCGCCACCTGAGCCGCAAGGCCGCCGCGGACTCGGACAGTCACAGTGTTGCGCATCTTCTCGAGCCACTCGAGAGTGGCCGCCCGCTCCGGCGACGGGTCGACAATGAGAGTTGAGCCCGGCACGATGCGGAGGCTTGCGATGACCCGGGTCGCCCCGTCGACCGAGTCGAGCCAGGTCACGGCATCGGCGCCGGCGCCGAGCTTGCCCATGTGGCTGGCGGTGAGTAGGCTGCCCTTCACAGCACCTCCCACCGACGCTACCAGCTCGTCCGCAGTGTAAGCGCGTGCGGCGGCAGCATCCTCAAAGTCGAGAACGTGGAGGACCGGCGGGCTCAGCTCGAGCGTCTCGGCATCAAAAACGAGGAGCGTAAGCGTGAACGACTCGGCCGGCGGAAAGACCTCACCAGGCGCGCGCGTCTCGAGAACCAGGTGTATGTTGGAGTGGAGAGGCAGGTTGGCGAGTAGCGTGTCGTCGGAAGCGATGAGTGGCGCACCGGCAACGCCATCGGCGGTGTCAAACGGGCGGAGGCGGGCGGCAGCGCCAGGGGACAACACAACGTCGAGCGCAGTGAGGACGCGCTCAATCAGCTGAGCATAAGAAGTGGTCTTGGCGAGCGAGATCGATGTGGTGGCCGCGCCGTACCGGACGTTGAGGAGAAGTACCTCGGATGCGGCCTTGAACTGGGCGAGGAGGCCGGCGTGGACGGTGTTGGCGTCAGCCACGAGCTTGGCGAGCGGCGATGGAAGAGCGACTGGGTGGCGGCTGGCGGTGTCGGGCAGAGGGTGTGCGGCGCGCCAGGCGGCTGAGGCGCCGACCGAAGAGTACAACAGCATGTACGCGTTGGCGCCGACGAGCTTGTTAGCCGTCTCGTCGTCTGGGTCGTGGCCGTACGCCTTTGCGACCTGCTCCCATGTCGCCGGCTCGACAACCGAGTCGTTGTAGTGGATCCAGCCTGACGGCGAGCCGTCGGGCGCGGTGGCGCAATAGCCGTAGTAGTGGCCGCCCATGGCGCCGCCGGTGTGGACGAGGACGGCAGTGAGGGCGTAGACGTGAGGCAGCGCGGCGAGGTCGGCATCGGGCGGAGGCTCATAGTCGAGCGGCGGATGCGAGGCCCGCTCACCGCGAAGAAACTGCGAGCGGGCTTCGGGGGTATAGGCCTCGAGGTCGAGGTAGCGCGGAAAGGCGACGCGATGGTTGAGCTTGACCTTGCGGAAGGTGACCGGCGAATAGGTGAACCGCTGGAGCTGGATAGAGAGGACGGGCGGGAGCGAGAGGAGCTTGATGCCCTTGGCGGCATCAACCTTGTCCTCGCACACGCTGCAAGCGTATTGGTTCTCGCCACGGAGCAGCTCGGGAGCGAGGTAGGTGTCAAGGGCTGCGTAGACCGAGTCAACATCCTGTGTGGGCAGGTTGAGCTCGACGTAGCTCTGCTCGGTCGCCGAGTGGTTCCCGCACCTCCCGCAGTGGACAAACGACTCGCCGGCAAAGTGGAAGAGGTTGGTAGGCGAGGGAAGAGCCTTGCGCGGGTAGATCTGGTCGAGAGCGTCAAAGAGAATGCGGCAAAACTCTTGGACGTCTGACTGAGCAAAGTGAGCAGGAGTGTTCCAACCAAAGGCATGTGTCAGAGACATGGTAGCGACGGCCTTTCTCTCTGAACCTTGCAGATGAGCAAAGAGCAGGGCAAGTTGATGAGGAATGCAACGTTGCGGAGAGCCATCGACATAAGGATCATGAACAAAGTCATAAACTCCTGCCCGAAACGATGGCAACCAGAAAAGAGCTTGCAACAACGAGTTCATGTAGCATGTAGCGCCTGCGTTGGTGAGACCGACCAAGCCTGTCTCTGACTGCTTTGCAATAGCCACTCGAAGTTCTCCATCACTCAGTTCTCCTCCAAACACAGCACGTGCATCTGCAAGTGTGCTCGCTTCCGAACTTGGCGCTTTGTATTTTTTCCGCCATGCGTTTGGCAACTTTTTCAACCCGCCGCCGCTGCTGCTGCTGCCTGCCGTGCCTGACCCACCTGGTCCCGGTGGCGGTGGTGGTGGTGGTGGCATGCCTCCTCCTCCTCCTGGGACTGGTGGTGGTGGGGGGGGTGGGGGTGCCACAGGTAGCCCTGGTGGTGGCGGGGGTGGGGGAGGGGCAGACATGTTCACTGTGTCAACACGGTGCGACAAGTGGTGCCGAGTCGTTGTGTGCTGGGTGGTGGGTGGGGAAGGGGGGGGGGGGGGAGGGCGGTGGTGAGGGGCAAACCGAATGATGGGTGAAATGGAACGTTGGCTCGATGAGGGGAGAGGAGGGAGGAGAGCGGAAAATTTTGAAATGCAGAGATTGAGAGTTTGATTTTGTTTTGGCTGGATAGAAAGGCTTGCTGGTGAGAGGTGGTATGAAAGGTAGCGCGGTGATAAACTGCGCCCCGAACTGTGCGCTAAAGGTGGTTAGGAGGGGGGTAAGGGGAGGTAAAGGACCGACAGTGGAGGGGTGGGGGGATGGGGGATGGGGGGGTGAAAAAAATTGGGAGGTGAGACAGATGGCAGGCTCTCCTATAGCGGGCCAATGATGTGATGCTTAGGGGAGCAACGAAGCAGGTGAGACTGAGTGAACATACATATGTCGCAGGTAGTTGGGTTGAATGGATGTGAGGATGGATTCTAAAGGCGAAGGGTGGTTCAAGAGTGATGGAAAGGCGGGTGCAACATATACGAGTTGCTATGGCGTGTTTGATCAATCATGATCGAGAGAGGAGATGTAGATGAGGAGGTGACAAGCCATGTGTGTGTATGTGTATAGTTGTGTGTGTGCGAGAGAAAGTAGGGTTCGTCAGTGAGAAAGAGATCCTCCATTGTGTGTGAGGAGTTTAGAGAATCGGACAAGAGACGTGGGCAATGTGAACTTTGCTGATCTCCGTTTTTGCGTTTTCTCTGCTTTCTTTTCACACCGTAACAGAGAGGGGGGGAGGGGTATTGCGCGCATTTACACCATGTTGAGGAAGCGGTTGCGGACAGTCTTGGATGTGGCCTTGCCATACGAAGGCGGCTCTGTGGCATCGGTTTTGCACCCGAGTCTGAGGTGTCCATAGCGGAAGTCGACTGCTCGACGTACTCGTACTCCGAGCCTTCGGTGCAGGTAGCAGTCGTGGCGCCCGAGTCATCGCAGTCCGTGGCGGTGCCGGCGGTTTCATCGCTGTCACTGTCAATGCCGAGCTCGCGCTCATTGCGCTTCTTCCACTCTGAAAGGCGGCCCTGCGGCCGTGCGCTTTTGGTAGTCGATGTTGCGGGCCGAGCCTTGCGAGAGCGCTTGCTCGCGACGCGGTCTGTGTGGACCTGGCCAGCGGTACCCGAGTCCTCCTCGTCGGCGTTGTACTCGACCTCCTGGGCCTGGCCGGCCGTACGCCGACGCCACGAGCGGTAAATGGAGAGAAAGACGAGGACAGTGACGATGATGGCGCCCGGCAGCATGTAGACGAGTGTGAGCGATGCCGACGACGACGACGACGACGACGACGACCGCGATGACGACGACGTCGAGCTGGAGGTGGAGCTGGAGGTGGATGTGGATGTGGAGCCGGTGGAGGTTGACGCAGAACTTGGCAACGTCGTCGGCCCGGACGCCCTGCACGTACCAGCATTGGAGATGACAAACGACATGGCCGCACCACGACGAGCGATGCTAGAGTCTGAGGCGAACCGAATCTCGACCTGACCACAAAGTTGAACGCTAAAGGTGCTGACCGATGCACCCGAGTAAGTTCCGTACCTGCTGTAGGTAGAGCCGGAACGTCCAGTCGAGTACAGTTCGATGTCGTCGAAGCCCTGCTCGGTCTCAACGACCTGGAAAGTGATGGTCGTCGTTGTGCTCAACGAAGACGACGACAGCCGCCACCGGCACGACTTGCTGTGAAGGTAGTTGGTGCCTGGCGCGTTGATGTGGATCACACCCGAGGTGCCTGTTACAGAGTAGGGGCTGGCGTTGTTCCAGCATCCGATCTGGTTGCCGACACTGATCGGTGAGCAATCGTACGAGTTGGTGCCTGACAGGCACGAGCACGATCCACTCACGCATGATCGTCCTGAGCACTGCTCATGGCCGTACCACGTCGGGCAGCTGGACGACGAGCCAGTCGTCGAGCCAGTCGTCGAGCCAGTCGTCGAGCCAGTCGTCGAGCCGCCACTCGAAGAAAAGGTAAAGCCAGTAGAGTACATCGTCGAGGTTGAAAACGACGGATTAGACGGCAGGTGGTACGGTGAGTCACCCGAGATCGAGTTATCTGCCACCCCACGAGACCACGAGACGCAAGGCGGGAAGGAGAAAGCCGAGGGCGAGCGGTACGAGTATGACTTTGAGGCCGACCACATCACGCCGATCATGTAGTACTTTCCAGCCGTGACCGGGATTGAGACCGCTGCGTAGTACTTGTTCGACGCTTGGAAAGAGACCGAAGTCGTTGCATCGTAGAGACCGACATACGTGCCCGTGGGAGTGGAAGCTTCCCTGACGATGAACCTCACAGAGCCAGAAAACTCTGTCGAGAGGTGAGTCAAAGTGCCCGAGGATGCAAAGTAAAAGACATTGCCACGGAACCTGGAACCAGCCGACGACGTTGACGAAAGGCGACCTGCAGCAAAGTCACATGCCATGACCGACTTGCTCGTCATCATCATCATCAGCATCATCATCATCAGCATCATCGGAATGGTGACCGAGTGGGTCTTACCCCACACGGTGGTGGGCAGGGACGACGGGGTCACACAAGGCCGCTTGGTCATCCGGGTGGAGACGGTGTTAAACCCAACACTCTTGTTCTTGCTGTACACACTGAACTCCTTGGACAACATGTATATGCTGTGGGGAGTTTGGTGGAGAGAGTGGGGTGTCGTGCGTGGTGTATGGGTGTGGTGGGTGGGGGGGGGGGGGGGGGGA